GGGAAGAAGGATCAAGGGGCGAGGCTCCTCTATGCGGAAGGAGGTGTATCGGAGCGCAGGGGGTGCTAGGAGATTGAGGACAGCTGTCCACAGAGATCCATGTCAGTGGCAGAGGTCTCATGGTGCAGAATTACAAGAAACTTAGACATGTAAAGTAGGCAATGTCATGTTATGCTTTGAACCTGGCTTCTTGCTGCTGTCAGGTTAACATTACACTCCTAGCTAGGTACCACAGGACACAGCCCGTTGTGCAAACCTTCTCCAGCCTGCCCTGCTGCACTCAGCTCCTCATGGGCCATCCCAGCATCCTGTTCCCTGTCCGCTCTCCACACACACACAGCCTGGGGATGCGCTTGTGTTTCTTGCTGACAGTCTCCCCCCCACCCCGCACCCCTTTGCCACTAAGCCTGGAAACTCCAAGGGGTGGGCAGCATTTCTCCCCCTCCTAAGCTTGTGGCTCAGCCCCTTGTGGGCCAGGTGCCAGGAGATGTCTTTGGATAAATGACAAAGGTCAGAGGATTCCATAGCAGTGGCTGGGCAGCAGTAATGAACCCCACAACCCAAGTTGGAGAAGTCAGGGAGAGAGGAAAGCAGATGGGAGTGGTCAGGAGTGGACATGTATACATACAGACCCCATTTGGTTCACTGAGTGTTCATGCCACTCAGCACCGGGTACCAAGAGCCAGCTGCACAGGGGACCCAGCCATTAGAATGTGTGGGCTTTGTGCTTGCAGAAAGAGGGAATCCATGCAGGGCCCAAGTCTGAGCCAGTCATGGCTGAGCCTGAACCGTGCAATGGAAGTGTCCCTTAGCTCTGCTCTCAGAAGAGGCAGACCATAGAAGAAGCTGTCCCCTGGACCCTGTCTCTCCTGATCCCTTGCTCCTGCCTGGGGATAGAAAGGCACTGGGGGTGTGGACCACCCAGGCTCCGCAGAGGGCAGCTGCCGGAGGGGAGGGGGCTGCTGGGGCCATTTCCTACTGAGATGCTCTGGAAACTTGGGGCAAAGGCCACCTTAGTGAGAGAGGAGATGGCCCCAGAGGCAGCAGACATGCAGGGAGCCCCCTGGGCAAGACTGAACAGAAGAAAAAGTAGAGAAGAAAGTCGAGTTCTCTCTCTCTGGGCTTCAGTTTTCACAGTGAAGTTACTGTTTTGTGCCCATTTTGGGGCTTGAACTCAGGGCCTGGGCACTGTCCCTGGGTTTCTTTTGCTCAAGACTAGTGCTCTACCACTTGAGCCACAGCCCCACTTCTGGCCTTTGTTGTTGTTGTTGAGTAGTTTTATGTGTGGTAAGAGTCTTAACAGACTCTCCTGCCCGGGCTGGCTTGGAAACATGATCCTCAGATCTCAGCCTCCTGAGTAGCTAGGATTACAGGTGTGAGCCTCTGGTGCCTATTTACTTTTTTTTTTTTTTTTTGGGTCCGGTCATGGGGCCTGAACTCTGGGCCTGGGCGCTGTCCCTCAGCTCTTCCGCTCAAGGCTAGCGCTCTACCACTTGAGCCACAGCGCCACTTCCGGCTTTTTTCTTTTTTGCTTATGTGGTGCTGAGGAATCGAACCCAGGGCCTCATGCATGCAAGGCAAGCGCTCTACCACTGAGCCACCTTCCCAGCCCCTTACTTGTTTTTTTTTTAAGTACTAGGGTTTAAACCAGGGTCTTGTGCTTGCTAAGGAAGCAATCTACCACTTGAGCTACAGATAAGAGTCTATCACTCACTCTGCCTCCTACCCCCTCTTCTCAAGTAGCTGGAAACACAGCTTTGTGGCACAAGCCAGCTCTGCACCTCAGCTGTCTGATGGAAAGAGCAGAGGGGAGAGTAACTTCAGTCATCGTTGATTTCACTTGAGGAGACAGGGTGTTATACTGCCACAATAGGAGCACTCTTCAGAAAAAATAGGACACTTACTTTGTTAGGACAACAGATTACAAACCAGTCAGTCATGAATGGGTAAAGGGCCACCCAGACTCGGGCTATTTACATGATGGTGAGGAATGAGCGTGGGGGAAGGGGAGGGAGACCCAGTGGAGGCCACTCGGAGCCAGGAACAGCTGTTTAACTGAACAAACCTCTTTGACGTGACTGGGAGTCGGTGGCTCGTGGCTGGAATCCTAGCTCATCAGGAGGCTGAGACCTGAGGACTGCAGTTTGAAGCCAGCCTGGGTAGAAAAGTCCATGCGACTCTTACCTCCAATTAACCACCAAAAAGCCAGAAGTGGAGTTGTGGCTCAAGTGATAAAGTACCAGCCTTGAGTGAAAAAGCAAAGCAAGAATGTGAGGCTCTGGGTTCAAGTCTCAGTATCAACACACACAAACACACGCACACACACACACACACACACACACACTCAGTATCAACACACACACACACACACACACACACACACACACACACACACACACACACACACGCCCAAAACCTCTTTGGCCTCATTTCCCTCCTTGGTGAGTGGGGTGCCATTTTTCCCTGCTTCATAGCAGAAGAAAGGATTTCCAGGGACTCTGCAAAGAAGAAAAATAACCTGGACTTCTGGCATCACCCAGACAGAGGCGCCAGCAAATTCCTTCCTCTGTGGCCCCGCCCCCAAGCCCCTGCACCCTGTGGCCACGGCAGCCTTGCACTCAACAAATCTTCATCCTGATTTCCATAGACTCAGGACTAACTGCAAAATGCCTGCTCATTGTGAGACACAGAAAACATTCAGATTTATTGCTTTGAGAGTTTGGTCGTCTCCTGAGCCTGGTTGATGCAGTTTCTTCCAAGTTTCAGAGCATTTTGTTTTTAAGAAAGGAGAAATTTTTGACAGCAGTTTTGCTTCACATTTACAAAAAAGTTCACGTAGGAACAATTATTACCATTGCTATTATATACTGAGTGTCTACATGGGCGGAAGACCGTTCCATTAACTCTAGACATCACTTTTTATTTTTCCTAATGGAGAAACAGAGCTCAGAGAGGTTAAGGGCTTACCCAAGGCCACACAGCACAGGGAAAGGGCAAGGCAGAGTGGAGGGCAGCTCTGCCTAAATTCACAGGCTGTACTAGCCCTGTGCTGTGGCACTTCTCTTCTGGGTCAGCTTCCACCTGATCTAACGTGCCCATCTACAGATTTACCATAAGATAAACCAACACACAACAAGACGCAGCGGCGGGTGCAAGAGGCAGTCAGAGGCGGGAATGAGGTAAAGAACAAAACAGGTGTGTTCAAAGGCACCCTGGAGGCCCCACACAACATGTTTTGTGCTAAGATTATTTTTGCAATGATTCAGGCGGGTGAGGGGCGAGTGGGGTCTGGGCTGGGTATTCACTTCCTCAGTTCCGATCTTGTGCGATCCAAATGGCAGCTGGTAACTACATATAGTTAGTTGTTCAAATTGAATTACCACAAAATAAAATTTAAAAGTTCCTCAGCCACAACCTACCACATTCTTTTTTTTTTTTTTGGTCGGTCATGGGGCCTGAACTCTGGGCCTGGGCGCTGTCCCTCAGCTCTTCAGCTCAAGGCTAGCGCTCTACCACCTGAGCCACAGCACCACTTCCAGCTTTTTCTGCTTATGTGGTGCTGAGGAATCAAACCCAGGGCCTCACGCATGCAAGGCAAGTGCTCTACCACTGAGCCACCTTCCCAGCCCAACCTACCACAGTCTAAGTACTCTGTACCTGCCAGTGGCTCCTACTGGACAGCACAGACAAGCTCAAAGGTCCCTGGATGGTGCCAGCTCTGCTCCCCTGACTGTTGCCATAGGGACAGGCCCATGAGGATAGGCCCCTCTTGCAGCCCAGGTTCCTCTAGATGCTGCCTGACCACCACTCTGGGGCTCCTGGATTACAGTTCCAGGGTCACGTAGAAAGGGTGGAAAGCAAAGGGCCTTGGTGCTCTAAGTGGGGACCTGGGTCCCCTAGCATCAGTGTCTCCTGGGAACTCATTAGAAGCTGGGCTCCACGCAGCCCCTCCGACAGCGCACCTGCATGTTAACAAGGTCCCCGGTGACTGGTGTGCAAGTCTGAGATGCTGACTTAAGGGACAGACTGAGTGGGATCAAAATAAAGCTCCAAATATAGGAAGTCAAACAGATATTTTCAGCTGTAAGAAATAGCCTCTCCTCCCACCCCGCTCCTGGCAGCATGTGACCAAGCATTCGCCACCGAGCGCCTTGCGGGCTGTGCCACACCATCAACAGACAGACTTCCAAGGGCAGGCCCCACCGGGCAGGCTGGGGGGCTGCGCACGGCCCTGTGGCTCTGCGGTGCTCGCTCTGCCCACTGCCCCAGAGCAAACCGGGTCTGCCGTCCAGTCTTTTCCTCCTCGGTGCGTCGGGCGGTGTGGGGGCTCAGAGGGGCTGCACAGTACTGGGCCCCATCCCAGGGGTGTGGGCTCCGTGGGTCTCGGCTCTAAGGAAGCAGCAAGCCATCTGTGGAGAGCAGGTGTGAGGGGGACCGAGGCCACACGCGTCCAGCTGGGGCAGGAGGGCTGGGCCTGGGGCCTGCACTACAAAGCTCTCTCCCAGCCACCCCTCTGCCAGGAGTGCCTGGTGGCGACTGACCTCTGAATGCGGCCCGGGGCCTTTCTTCTTCTTATCTCTGGTGTGGGGTTAAGCTGCCACAAGGATGGGCCTCCTGAAGGATGAATTTTAAAACCACTATTTTTACAAGTTGCTCCCAGCAGTAGGGTGGACAGGGGTGGAGGAAGGAGACCAGGGCACAGCCAGGAGCCTGGGGCTTCAGGAATCAGGGAGTTCAGGGGAACTGGACCGAGGTGCAAAGGGCAACAGGCTCTCTGTAACCCTTTCAGGGTCCTCTTTCTGTTCATCCCTGAGGGCTGGCTGTTTGTTCTTTCCCGAGATTCCCAGAGGTCCTCCCTCCCTGACTCCACAATTTTCACTAATAACAGAACTTGTTTCTATTATTTGTATCTAAGGTCCCACAGGGACCCAGGCCCAAAGGCCAAGCAATGAGATCCGCCTAGTGCACGCAGCACACAGAGGAATGCTACACAGCCAGGCACAGTGGTGACATACGTGTATATTTGTTGACGTGGAAAGGAATTTCACAATGTATAGTTAAGTGCAAAAGCAGATTATAAGAAAACAGTATGCATAGGATGATACCATGTTTGCAAAATATATATTCTATATATTCATAGAAAAAGGTCTAGAAGAAAATATAACAGTATTCATTCCAAAGAGTAGGATGAACGGTTTTCCTTCCTGCTGGTCTTCTCGTGCTGGTGCAGCGAGTCTTCCCCATTTGCCTTTTGCTTTTTCAACCTTTACGATGGGCCGCAGGAGCCTCACTTCCGTGAAGTGCGTGTGTGTGGCTTGTTTGCTGAATGCCAGTGCTGCACACCACATCTCTGCTCCAGGTCCTGTGGGTGCCAGGGCCTCTGGAACAAGGAAATGGTACTTCCTGCCTCACCCCCAGGGAGCTGGGAGCATCCCACTTACTCTTACAGAAACCTCGAGAGGTGGAAGCTCTGTCTGCCTGATGGCAAAGTGGAGCACAGAGGGGTGAGATGATCTGTCAGGGGACACACAGCAGGGATTTAAAGCTAGGTCACCCAGCCCAGAGCTCCAACACTCCAAAAACCACTTGAGTTTATGAATGGAGCCAAAATGAAGTGGCTGAGTCCTGGGGAGGGCTTGCGGTATCCCCTGCCATCAGCTCCGTGGAGGGGCAGCCGGGTGGCAGGGAGGGGGGGGTGAGGTGGGGCACCACCGTGCAGGGGCCCAGCTTCCTCCTCGGCACGTGGCTTCTGCGTTGGGGCCTCTCACAGGGCAGCTGTGGTGGTGCTGGGAGGGTGGAAACGGGGTCTAGGCCTCAACTGGATACTCTTCCCACTCTCCTGCTCATCTTCCCAGGCTGGGCTGGAAAGCCTCCTGCCCCAGAGGCCCTTGCTCAACCTCAAAGGCAGGTGGAGGCCATCGCTGGCTCGGCCTGGCCTGCCTCCTCTGCAGCCCTGCCCACAACTTGCTGCCACCTCCGTTCTCCGGGGCTGCCCTGACTCTGCTGACAGCGGGGCTGAAGGCTGTTTTGCTCTCAGTGCTGCCTCTGGTCTTGACCTCAGCACTTGGACTATAGCTGATGCTTACCAGGCATCTACTGAGTGAGGCCCTCCTGGGCCTTTTCCTGGCTGTGTGACTGTAGGTAAGTTGCTGCTCCTCTCTGGGCTTTCTCTAAGCCTCGGTCTGAGTATAAATATCCAAGTCCGTCAACACTTCCTGAACGTCAGGACCAATTTAAGGGAAAATAAGAGAAGCTAGAATCCTTACTAAATTATACCTCAATCTGTTGCTGGCTGGTTGTTCTTTCCAATGATGGCGTGCTGGTTTGCCCAGGAGCCACTGATGTGCAATGAGCCCAATCTGATTCCTTATTGAATAAACTCCTTTATTCTAGTTCACATCATTTCCCAGGACAACAATGAAAATAGAACTAGTGATCTGTAACGCTTAGGCCCAAGTCAAAGGGCCCTTCCTGAAAGCATAGGGTAGCAACATGGTTGAACACAGAGTAAATGTTGGGTAGAAGGCATTAAAAATATAGAGATCTGGGGCCAAGGTTTTCTGTGCAAATGCTCTGAGGTTTCCTTCATCAGGATGACATTGTTTCAGACAAAATGATTTTGGAATCTACGTAATTATAATAAAGCATAATGGAACAGGAAAAGCAAAACAAAACCCCCAAGTCGGGAAGGAGGTAAAGCACAGGGGTGCGATGTGACCCTCTGGTCCTTTGGCCCTGCAGTGGCAAGTGAGTTTGTAGAAATTCTCTGTCGAAAGGAATGTGGGGGCCGGGGCCCTGCCTGGCCTTGCTGCGTCTCCAGGTCCTGTCTCCTCACAGAGGAAAAGAAGTTGCTGGTCCAACACATCAGCCCAGGGTCTGGCCAGGATGGGGCCTCTGTTCCCAAGGCCTGTGGAAACAGTTCTGAACCCCGAGAAGGCAAGGCATCCCTGAGGTGCCGGGGCGGGGTGGGTGGCAGGTCAGTGCCGGTGCACAGGGCCCGAGCTGCCCAAGCTGTCCGAGTGGTTCACGGGCAGCGGGTGCGCCTCGGTGTTGAACACCCAGTCCTCCAGCGACAGCATGTCATCTTCCGAGAACAGAAGATAGAGGTATCTGTGTGCAGCGGGACAGGGACAAGCCATGTGGTCAGTGCCTGGTAGGCTGGAGACCCCACATCTGCTCAGGGGCCTGGTCCTGGGGATGACTGGGCGAGTGCTGAGCTTTACAGTCAAGGGCGCCAGAGGGATATGGTTTAATCCTGGCTTTGTCCAGCCCTGCTGTTACCTCCAACCCAGACAGCCTCGTCTGGGGCTCCCAGCTGTGCAGCCCAGCTTCTTACTTCCCTGCTCTGAGCCTTGCCAGGTTATGCCAGGCCACTGAACCTAGCAAAGCTGGGGCTGCTGGCAGCAGCTCCCAGCGTGGAGGGTCTGTGGAAGAAAGTGGCTACACCAGGGACAAAGGGCAGGGGGCTACTCTGAAGAAGAGCAGGGAAAGGGGGTCCTAACCACCCCAAGAAGGTGGGAGAGTAGTACCGCAGCAACACTGCAGAGGCCTGGGAGGGGGGCTGTAGCAGTGACCAGCGTCATCATCATTGTCATGGTTACCCCCATTGTACAGGGGTGACAGCTCCCAAGATCTCAGTAACTGTCCATCACAATGGAGCCTCAGGACTGCTTCCAGCCCAGACTAGTTCTCTGAGGGAGGAGACAGTCCAGCCCTCTGAACCCCTAAGCCCTCCTCCATCTTCTCCTGGACTCCTGCCCTGTGACTTTACACCTGGCCATTGGGTGGGGGATGCTGGCCCACCCCTCCGCCCCCATCAGGAGCCACATGCCCTCTAAGGAGAACACTGGCTGTGCCCCAACTCACTTGAGCGTCTCTGCCAGGAAGAAGCTCTGCTGCTTGTTGTCATGGTTGGGGTTGCTGCTGTACACATCCTGAATCCCCGAGAAACCCCCTTCTGTCCGGCAGTATTTCTCCAAGGCCTGAGGGAGGGAGTGGTCTCAGCACAGGAAGGGAAGGTCCCCAAGACACCTGCCAGTCATCCGCTGGAGATGGCGAACACGCTGGGGTCCCTGGTCTTTATGGGTGCCATGCTACCTCCTCCCCACTAAGCTCTGCGGCTGCCTAGTGGAGACTTCTCTGTTCTTCGGGGAAGCAGTCTGGCTTGACAGAGGGCCCACGGGGTAGACAAGGTCTGGGATAGCCACTGGTGATGTGCATGGTTTGGGATATGAATGGTTTGGATCTGGGGAACCCTCAGAAGTCTGCAGAGACTTCTTGATCCTTAGGCTAGAGGTACCGCAGGCCCCTACCTATTGTACAGAAATACAGACCAGGCAAAGAGCTTGGGCCTCAGTGAGCCAGGCTCTGACATGGTTAGGCCCCTATTGCTGGAACAGGGCTCCCAGGACAGCCTGCTTCATAGTAGGTGGTGCCTTGTCAGCCTGGGAGCAGGCATGGGGTTTGTAACAGAGAAAGCTCAGCACCTATCAAGAAAATTTCTGGGGTTGGGAAGGTGGCTCAGTGGTAGAGCGCTTGCCTTGCATGCATGAGGTCCTGGGTTCGATTCCTCAACACCACATAAGCAGAACAAGCTGGAACTGGCACTGTGGCTCAAGTGGTAGAGCACTAGCCTTGAGCTGAAGAGCTGAGGGACAGCGCCTAGGCCCAGAACTCAGGCCCCACGACTGACCAAAAAAAAAAAAAAAAACAACAACAAATTTCTGGAACTCTTGGCTGACCTTTGACACCTACCCAAGGAGGATGTGAGAGTTCCAGTAGGTGGCTGGGGCTGAGGGGAGGCTGAGCCAAAGAGGAGGTAAGTCATCTACACTAGCATTAGGACTTGGGGTGGGGCAGGCTATGCCGTAGGACAGAGAGCTGCTAGCCTGTGCAGCTGGTCCTGTTCCAGGGAAGGCAATCCAAGGAGCCATCCAGGCTCCAGGGCCAGGAGCAGGGCAGCCAGGTGGTATTCTAGGCTGCTGCCTGGCCCCAAGGCCATGGGGCATGCAGCCTACTCTGTCTCTGCATCTGCCGCCTGACCATCAGAACTCTGACCCTTGGCCCGAAGGCAGCCTAGATGGCCTTTCTCTTGGTGTCTGCTGCCCGCATGGTGATTTCTCAGGGTCGTGTGCCCCCTCCCCCCAACCACTCACCATCACCACCTCCCAGCCCCATTCCCTGTAGATGGGGTCGTGTGTCTGCCGCCACAGGTACATGTAGCTCTCCACCACTTCGGGCCGCAGGATATAGTAGCTCTCACTCAGCTGGGTGGCCACTGCTTCTCTCCCAGAGTTGAACCAGAAGGCCTCAGGCCCAAGCTTGGTGTCTGTGGGAAGAGTCAACAGAGGCCTTGGTCAGACACTACCATCTGTTTTCAGATTAGCTGATCCAGGGGGAATCTGGGGGTCTAGAAGCCCTCAGTGGGCACCAGAGTGGGGTTGGCTGCTGGGTAGACACATAGATTCCTTTTTAGCCTGTTTAGGCCTAAGATTTTGAGGCCTTAGAGTTTTGAGGTTTGTGTGTATGTACACTCAGACCTGGGCACTGTCCAGGAGCTTTTTTTGCTCAAGGCTGGCACTCTACCACTTGAGTCATACCTCCACTTATAGCATTTTTTGGAACTTAATTGGAGATAAGGATTGCATGGATTTTGCTGCCTGGGGTGGCTTGTAACCATGATCCTCAGATCTCAGCTTCCTGAGTAGCTAGGATTACAGGTGTGAGGTACCAGTGCCCAGCTTGATTTTGCAGTTTTTGACTCAGAATCTGGGAAGACCAAGGCTGGGGAAGCATCCCCTAATTGTGTATTTTGAGACTTTAGATCTTTAGAAGATGTAAACTAGAACTTTTTGCCTTCTGTCAGACCAAGGTTATAGCCATGAGCACAGCTGCCATTTATGACTGCCAGTGTTGTGCTGGGTGCTTAACATACATGTCTCATTTCTTAATTTCCTTTCCTTTCCTTTTTCTTTTAGTTTAAAACCAGGACTTGAAACTTGGTATCTGATGTTTTTGCTCACTGGCTGGCACTCTACCACCAGAGCCATGCCCCAACCTCTTATTCCTTAATTTTCATTAAGAATAGATCTCTCTGTCTCTGTCTCTCTCTATCAGGTGGAAATTTAGGATTAGAGAAGTAGTTTGTTCAAGGCAACGCAGGTCATGGCTGAACTGAGATTCGATCTTGGATCTCTTTGCCTCTCCCTTCTGGGGCTAATTCTCTAGATCTAAAATTTGGGGTGAATGTGCTGTCTCCCTTCCTTCATTCCTCCCTCTTTCCTTCCCTCACCAGCTGGAGCATCAGTTCCTGTACGTGTTCCTTCCATGAAGGGCTTCCTGGAAGAGGAGTCAGCAACTCTGGCCCCTCTAATCTTTTTCAAATGGTGTGGCAGCTCTGGCCCATCAGGAAACAGAGGTTTTGCCAAGTTGCTAATGGGGTGAGGGCAGGAGCAGCCACACAGCCGGCAGTGGGCAAGTCAGGCTGGCTGGGACAATATGCTCGATTAAGCGGCTGTCTTTTATGGCCTGGCCTGATTGTCCCAGACAAATAGCAAGCTTTTTATTATTCCTCAGATTCCCTGTTTGTTTATGGTCCTGGCAGAATAAGCGCTAAGAAGAAAATGGATAAGCAGCTTTTAGGACCCATAGAGATTCTGACTTCCTGGAAACAGCTCCGAGCACCAGCTCCAGGCGCAGAGACACATGCTGGCTGCTCTGGCAAGGGGCTTTCTCCCGGGACCCTGGAGCCCTGTGCGATTGTTCTCTTTGAGCAGCTGAGAGAAAAAGGGCCACTGGGGTGGGGGAAACAGGGAGCTAGGGAGCTTTAAGGCCAAGACTAGGATTTCTGCTGAGCAGTGATGGCTTCTGGGATCACGAGGTAGGTGTAGGGAGGGGATTTTTGTGAGGGTGCAATGTGGGAGGTGGGGATGGGCCTCAGATGACCTGGTTCAGCCTTTCATGTGCAGTGTGCTGTCTAAGTCACCTTCTCTCTCTGGGCTCAGTTTTGCCCTGTGTTAATCTAGGTGTTGGGCTCATATTCATGTGACTCTGACCCATACCTGACAAGTCTGTGGTACATGCCTCTGTGTGTGTGTGTGTGTGTGTATGTGTGAGCACACACATGAGTGTCTGGTACCAGGAGGCAGTGAGACCCTCACTGGAGAGACACTGTGGGGGATGCAGTGGGAGCTTTACTTTGTGGACAGAGCACTCAGGATGAGAGGGTTTGCCAGCTCAGGCCCCTTGGGGCTGAAAGTTCTCTGTTCTTATCTCTCATGTGACCATGGTCAAGTCTTCGCAAGCCTCAGTTTCCCTATGTGGATTTGGAGGCTCAGTGATGATGTGTGGGCCAGGTGCTGAATATGCCTCACTCATACCTTCAACTCGGGTTCAATCAAGAGTCCAGACAGCACAGTTCATTAGATTCTACCCAGCTCCCTGGGAGAGACTGGGAGGCTAAGGCCTCATGCTCCCTTCATATGCTGCCGTTCAGTTGCTCTTTCCAAATTTTCCTGGTGTCTAGCCTCAGTCTTGACTGTTGCCCCTTTCACTTGCAGGGTTACCTGAGCGAGCGTATGACTCGTGGCACGTCCTGGTGATCTGGGCTGCGAGCTCCTGGTAGTAGGCTCTCTTTTCTTCCTTGGCGTCCTCTGCGCCGAGGGAGATCATGCCCCCTGAGAAACAGGCCAGGTGCCCCATCTTGTGGTCCAGAATCCCCCCTCTCCACTCAGCAATGTAGGTCAGTCCCCCAGGAGAGACATTCAGCAAGTAGGTCTCTATTGCCTGGGAGCAAGGTGGGGGTATAGGTAAGGACAGAAGTGAGATACAGAGAAAGGAGAGAAGGAAGGAAATGAACACTTTATTTTTTGTTGGTTGTGGGGCCTAAACTCTGGGCCTGGGCACTGTCCTCAGCTCTTCAGCTGAAGGCTAGCGTTCTACCACTTGAGCCACAGCACCACTTCCAGCTTTTTCTGCTTATGTGGTGCTGAGGAATTGAGCCCAGAGCCTCATGTATGCAAGGCAAGCACTCTGCCACTGAGCCACCTTCCCAGCCCGGAAATGAACACTTTGGAGACAGCAGCAGGACAACTTACAGAACCCTCTGTCCCCCACAAATGGCTCCTTGACCTGTTTTTGTTGTTATTTGGGGCTTCAAGGCTAGTACTCTACCACTTGAACCACAGCACCACTTCCAGTTTTCTGGTGTTTATTTTGGAGATAAGAGTCTCATGGATTTTACTGCCTGGGCTGGCTTTAAACCAGGATCCTCAGATCTCAGCCTCCTGAGTAGCTGATTATAGGCATGAGCACTGGTGCCTTGCAGTTCTTGACCTCTTTTGCCAAGGTCTGAGTCTGCTGAGAGCTGGGATGTCAGGCAGCTCCAGGGGCATGTCCGATTTGCTCCTGGGGGGGGGTATGTCTGAGTCTCTTACATATCTTTTTATTATTTATTTTGGTCAGTTGTGGGGCTTGAATGCAGGGCCTGGGTGCTGTCCCTGAGCCTCTTTGTGCTCAAGGATAGAGCTCTACCACTTCAGCCACTGTGCCACTATTGGTTTTTGGGTGGTTTATTAAAGACAAGAGTCTCACAGGGGTTTTCCTGCCCTGGCTAGCTTCAAGCCTGTGATGTTCGGATCTCAGCCTCCTGAGTACTTAGGCCACTGGTGCCCAGCCTTACAAAGCCTTTTAAATTTTAAATCATCTATGTTTTAAAGCACACTCAAAATACCTTTTAAGCTAATTGCCCTTTTCCATTACCTCTGAGGTAGGAGGTTTTAAAGTGAAGCTGGCTTTGCCTAAGGATTGCTTGGGGAAGCTCAGAGAGTCTCTGGGACTATAGTCAGCACCTCTGTGACTGTGTAACTACTGGGAAAAAAGTCCATGCATCAGGGCCTGCTCTCTACAGTGCTTTCTCACAGGCTACCTGGTGTAAGCCATGCGAGTGCCCTCTAGTGCCCTCTAGAAACCAAGGGTGGAGTAGTTTGTCACAGGTCACCCAGCCACCATGGTACCAAGACCGTCAGGGCCCCACGTCTCAGTTCCTTTTAGTGGGAAGGGCTCCTGAGGGAAGACTCAAAGTGGTGCTGGGGTGTGCAGGCATTAGGATTCTACTCCCCGCTGTTAGTTTAAGGAGCCTTGAGGCCAAGGTGATGGAGGAGCTGCTCATGAATGCTGAGCCAGATACTATAGGCCAGAGTGTCCTGATCAGGGCTGGGGACCTGTGAGACTGTTGTTGGGTTCCTGCTTTTCCTCTTTGCTTCTACTCTACTCTGAGATTGCATCATACCCCTGCTCAGGACCCCGACAAGTGCCTGGTAGGCCTTCTGTGATTCCAAAGTATAAGCTGATGCTGCAGGTTAGCTGCTGAGCTCAGATTCCATACTTTCAAATCTCTCCTCCACCACTGTGTGGTACTGGTTCGGCAAAAGACCCTCTCTGTATCTTCATTTCCTTGTATATCAGATAAGGGTGAGAATACTTACTACTTTGTAGTACTGTGGGAACTAATTAAGTGATGCTGCACAGCTGGCATTTCTAGCAGATGCTGGCCACTGGGAGGCCTCTTAGTCTGTACTCTGCCCTTCCTCATGCCCCACCCCGCCCTCTTTTGCGGTCCCTGAGCTGCCCAGCGTTATGCTAGGAGCTGGGGAGGACACAGATGCACAGTGAAGGGTCTAGCCCTGGGCTGGGGAACCCCCGATGAGAGTGGAGACCTGACAACACTCAACACGTGTGGGAATTGCCATCTAATTGGCATTTTGAGTGAAACACATTGAAGGACGAGATACAAATGTGGGAGAAGCCGGGCATCAGCGGCTCACGCCTGTAAATCTTCGCTACTCAGGAGGCTGAGATCTGAGGATCATGGTTCGGAACCAGCCTGGGCAGGAAAGTCTGTGAGACTCTTATCTCAATTAGCCACCAGAAAACTGGAAGTGGCAATGTGGCTTAAGTGATAGAGTGCTCGCCTGGAGCTGAGAGACAGTGCCCAGGCCCAGAGTTCAAGCCCCATGATTGAAAAAAAAAAAAAAAAAAGTGGGAAAGCCTTGCTTTGCAGAGTGAGGTCAGAGAATTTCCATCTCCTTGGGAAGCATGCTGAGTCCCAGCCAGCGGGGAATGGCTTGACCTTGAGGCCATCTCCAGAATGCCATCCTTGGAAAAGCCTCTCTCTTACTCTCGCTTTTGGCACCCAGTGCTGAGCTCATTTGAATCAGGTTTCCCTGCCCTGTTGTGTCCCCCGGGACTGACTCAGTGCCATGAAACCCAGCAGCACATGTGGGCAGCAGACTCCAGATGAGGCCTGGCGGACGATGCTCAGGCAGGTGTGACTCCCGGACCATTTCTTTCTTTCCCTTTCTGGTCAGGATCAGGGGTTGGGCCTTGCTGAGTGGTAGATGGGGAAAGGCTGATGTGACATGCCAGGCACCTGCTCCACATGGAGGTCATGCTGAGGAGGCCTGGGGGCCACCAGCTGCCGAGCTGGGCTGCTCTGGGCCAGGCCCTGGCTCCTGGGCACAGCACAGTCCTGGCAGCTGTCCTGCTTGGCTCAGCATCAGTGCAGGGGAGGAGGGGTAGTAGGGCAACCCAGGATTGAGAAGCCCATTGCTACTGATTGGGATGTGACACCAGACATCTGGGGTAGCAGCCAGGATGCCATGTACCAGGACTGGAATTGCACTTCTAGACCTACTCCTGAAGGTTATTTCCATCTGGGGTCAGTTCCAAGCTAAGTAAAGAGGAAATTGTAGACTTGTGTCTCTTTGAAGACATAATCGAGATGAGCAGATGTGACGATAAAAAAAAAAACCCAGGGCTTTCTAAAGCCCTGAGCAAAACAGGCAGTAACAGGAAAGGTTTAAATTACCGTGCAGCAGTGTGAAGTGCTGAGCGGGAAGGCCCGGTTCTGGTCTGGACTCTGCAGCTTGAGAACCGGAGGCTTTGGGCAGGGCATGTCTCTTTTTTGAACACTCACTTTATTCCTATCTAAATGAGAATTTAGATTCCTGAGATGGCCAAGAGGACTGAAGGAGAGAATGTTCGAAGACTCAGGTCAGCATGTGGCCCTACCTGCTGCTCCCATTGCTTCCTTGAAGCCCACCTGAGCCCCTCCTGGACGGAGAGCAGGCTGCCAGCACTGAGTTTGGGCTCAGGCAGAGCTGTGTTGGAACACAGCGGTTGCAACTGTGTGACCTAGGCCTTTCTGAGCCTGTTTCATTGTCTGAGAGATGGAGCTAAATAAGAAACAGAAGATAAGTGTATGTACTTGGAGGAGGCTGCATGGCCAGAACTGCCCCTGGCTTTGATGCCCTCTCCCTGTGACATTCAGGGGTACCCCCAGCTGGCTGCCCCTGTCTGAACCTCCCACGCTGGTCTAGCAGTGGACACCAGTCCAGCCTGCTGTTTTTGGTCTATGGCTGCACACTAGAGTCCCCAGGGCGATTTAAAATATTGTCACTGGACCCACCTGATGTAACTGGTCAAGAAGTACATCTAGGACATGGGATTTGACAGTATTCCAGGTGGTTTTAATATGCTGACAATGTTGAGAACCACCAGAATATTCTTCAAAGCCTCAGACTTGCCCGAGGCCTAGCCTTTACCCAGGGTCAAAGAGGCTCCAGGCTCTTTACTGGGATCCCAGCCTAGCTCTCTCCTGTTCAGTCTGTTAAATAATTCATGGCCATTTCTTCCCTTGAAGCCTCAACTACAGGGTGCCTGAGGGGAGAAATATCAGTGTCACTTGTTAACTGCATATTTTCTCGGCAAAAAGCACGGGAAAGAGCTGGGGCTAATCCTCTAACAGGGGATGCTGGCCATGGTCTGAGCTCAGCCAAAGCCAGTGGCAGACAGGGGTGAGACAGACTGAGCTGGGAATGAAGCAGGGAAAGCTCAGTTCTGAGCCACAGTTCACAGCTCTGGACATTTGATTCAGTGATTCTTCAAGCACCATCATGCCTGCCAGATTCATGCCACCAAAGTGCACCTAGAGATCACCCACATACCCAGGCTTCTATCCATGTGCCTAATTGTTCACATTCATCCATCCATCTGTCCATCCATCCATGTATCCATCTTTCCATGCATACAGGCATCATCCATTAATCCATTTACCTACTTATTGATGTCCATCTATCCACAATCTATCCATCCTTCCACGCATCCAGGCATCATCCATCTATTCATGTACCTACTGCATCCATCACACGTCCATCTGCCCACCTACTCATGTATCCATGCATCCTTCCACAAATCCAGGCATCATCCATCTATCTACCTATCTAGTCGCATCCACACATGCATCCACCATCCATCCCACATCGATCCATCTACTTACTCATATATCTATCCATCATCCATCCACTCTTACATCCATCCATCTAATCAGCTGTTCATATCCATCCCTCTACTATCCATCCAAGCATCCCATGTACCTGTTCACATCATCTACCTGTCCACATATCCCCTCAAAACATCCACCCATTCACCCCTTCAACTATCTATCTATCTATCTATCCATCCATCCACCTGTCTATCCTTTCTCTTCACATATTCTCTCTTTATCCATCCATTTAGCACTCGTGCATTCCTTTGTTTATATAATAGTTTCTTTGGGCCTACTATGTGCCAGTCTGTTTCAAAAGGTTGGCACACAAAATAAACAAGGAGATTTTAGATAACTTACATTTTATCTGGGGAAAGACCGATGATCAAGTAAGTAAACATATGCACATGATAATTTCAGATATTGTTACAAGTAAAGAAGACCATAAGCTTAGGCATGTTCAGAGAAGGCAGAAATTTCTGAAGAATTTGGCCAGTACATTGAAGTGTAGCTATTTGAATGATAGTTTGGGTAAAGAAGACAGCAGTGCAAGAGTCCTGAGGTATCTCTGTTGTGTCTGGGGAATCAGAGAAGAAAGGATAAGGAGGTCATGATGACCGGCAGGGCTCCAAGTGGCCAGAACCCAGTGGGCAAAGGAAATGGGCCTGGAGTATTAGAGGTACTAAGGCAAGGTGGTAAGGAGAGGGCATACATTTTCAGCTCTCTGGCTGCTATGTAGAGAACTGACTTAGAGACAGGAAAGAAGGGAAGCAAGGAGCCTAGTTTAGAGGAAATGAGGCAGTAGGTTAGACCAAGGTGGTGGCAAGTAACTTGATGGAAAAATGGGTTCAGAACCTGACCATTAATTGAGCTCAAAAGATTTTATTGATGGGCCATGGATTCCCTAGCCCTCAGCTAAAGTCCTAAAGTCTCCTTTTCTTTGTAGGGGAATCATTTTGGCTTACCATCTCTACACCACACTCTAGGTGTACATTCCAGGCTTGTGGACAGCCAACAGTGGAACCAGCTTTTCCAGGTCTGTGCTGTGTGGCCTTGGGCAAGTGCCTTCCCTTCTGCAGGCTCTGGCTTCCATCCACATAGGGAGAAGAAGTGCTCCACACACCCAGCTGGCCAGTGTGGCTGCTAATATGTCACCTCTAGTTTTGGCAGGAAGGTGGCTGAGGGGCCCCCCAGTCTACAGCCTGGCAGCATGCTGGTTCTGGGACATTAATTGAAGCTTACACATTATAGGGAAGAGTCTGAACTGTGTGTTCTGAATCAGACAGACTGTCACTTGTTATGAGACCTTGGACAAATGACTCTAACTCCCTTAACTCATGAGGACACGGTGCAAAGCGCAGCTAGGGATGTAGCGGGGGTGGGTCTCCTTGTCATTCCTCCCAGCCCACCCCAGAGAGGGCTAAGTAGGCTGCTGCCATCTGGCTCCTGCCTCCAGCTCCCGGGGGGCCTGTGTGAGAGCCGGTGGCTAATGTCCACCCGCCCATGAAAAGCCCAGCACTCATCTTACCTCCAAGGCTTCGTAGTACATATTTTTAGCTTCCATATCTGTCTTGGCAGACATCAGCCAGGATTTGATCAAATATTCATAAAAACTGTCCCCAAGTCCTCCAACCGAGACGTGGTCTATGAAGGAAGAGGACAAGAGTGTCATTTCATCTGCCTCTGGCTGTGCGGGACCAACAGCAGGCGTGGCTCAGTGGCCCAGGGCTGGGCATGGGGGGAACTGGCATCTAATCAGCTGCCACTGAGCCCCAAGTAGGGGCCAAGAAGACACACAGTCTGTGATGTGCCCAAATGCATGGGCTCATGGTCCTTAGCAGGCTGACACAGGCCCTTGTTATTTATTAGCTGTAAATGAGCTGTGCTTCTTCAGAAAGATAATCTGGTGGCAAGGAAGTTCAAGACTTTATTGTCTAGTGACAAACACGGTAATTAACTAAATATGGGGCTGCTTCAGTAAAGGGCAGACTAAGGAGGAGTAAAAGACCAACTCATCATAGACCCTTTGGAATGACTGAGTTTCAATTGAGTAAATCTGAACAAAGGGGCTCAGGATGAGGTAGGCTTGAAGGCCCTCCCTTGCCCCAGCATTGCTGCCAGGGTGACTCAGGGAGCAAGGGGAAGCATAAAAGCATTGTACAGACTTAAAGGACACAGAGAGGAAGGGGCATGGGTAGACCAAAGTGGGGATGAGTGGTGGTCTCAACTCCTCTGGAAAGGAGGGGAAGTGAGAAAGAGGTGGATGTAGAGTATGTCCACAGCTGCCATGAATCGGGTAGCAGCCATAGCCAGGAGTTGATTACTGATTATTACTCAATCTTCCCTGAAGCTCTTCAAGCAGCACCATTGGCCCCTTTCGTGGGTGGAAAAACAGTGGGAGCCTGCATAGCTTGTCCACGGCCACCACATGAAGTGAGGAGCCCTCACTGTCTGCACGGACGGTGATAACAAAGATGCACAAAGGCAGGACAAGTGGGGAGAGAGTGCCAAACAACACCTGGGTAAGGGTGTAGGGAGGAGAGACAAGCACACAGCAGAGCCCTTGGGCTCTGGTGCTCCTTTTCACTTGTGAATCCTAGTCTGGAATTTCAATACTGGGCAGGTCTGCAGGAGACGAGGGGAGGCTAGACATTAAACTGGGTCAGCCTTAGAGCCCTGACAGCTCCCCACTGCTCTGGAAGTGGGGAGCCAGGGGCTTGGTAGCTGAAGACAGGCTCTCCTGTCTCCTGACTCATTGCGGTCTCTTCTCTCTTATCTCTGCCACTCTAAACATCCGGGCTCAGCCTTCACTGGGTGCTGTGCTGATCCTGGCTTGGCTTGTCCCCTCTCCCCACCCTGGGTCTAGGTTAGGTTTTGTCCCTGCTCACAGCCACATGGATTTAGCTGGTGAAATCAGCCAGTGCCCCTCTGCGGGGGCAGCGATCCACACAGCCATGGCAACTGGCTGTTCTGAGTGTTGCTAGAGGCACTGATTATGGGCCTGCAGCCCCTGTGCGCCCCCCCTCCCCCAGACTGTGGGCTCTTCATGGGGATCCCACAAAGAGAGAATTCTTTCTTGCGCTCTGGATCTACATGGAGGCAGAGGCCCAGTGGGTATCCAGAGCCAGCTTCAGCAAGGTGCCCAGCAGGGACTTGGGAGCCGCTCTGAACTCTACCAAAGTGCTCCCTCAGCCCTGCTCTGTCAGTGGTGAGGCAGGACTGGGCAAGGCACTCCATAGGTGACCAAGGAGTGTCATAACAGGGCCCTGACTAGGTGGGGGTAGTTCTTGGAGGTTTAAGATACAGTGATGATTAAGGAGTGTTCCTTCCTGTATAGTCAGGCCCTGTTTAAAAACCTTTTAAAAATGAGAGCTTATGAAAGGAGCTTGAGGAGGGGGAAGGGCCTCAAGCCACTTCCAGAGAAGTCAACTTATGTGGGACCGACAGCCTTTTGAGTTTGGGGGAGACCAGGGGAGGCTGAAGGACAGGGGTGTGTGAAGGGCAGCACAGGCAGGGCTGTGATAACAGACGTCGTCACACTCACCACAACAGCGCCAGAGACAATGAAGAGGTCTCCCCAATGCCTGGGAGGCAGGGACTGTCCAGGAGCAGGTGCCAATGCCTGGCTGGGTATAGATGCCCAGACCCAGGGGACAGACAAGAGGCAGTACTGTAGATACTCACGTTGCACCCAGTTCCCGCTCACCGGGCTGAGGAAGTTGGGGTAGAGGCCAAAGGGTTTGTCGATTTTCCTCAGGACTTTTCTGATATTCCTGACCTTCAAGAGATACAGGACAAGCTGCCACTCTCCAGAAGAAGCCACAGCTGCCCCACCCACCAGGGCTCAGATTCACATAGAAAACCATTCCACGGGGGCAGGAGGGAGAGCAGTGAATGAATTTCAGGTCCTCCCCAACAAGGCGGGAGGGTAGCCCTGCCCTGTGCCCACATGCAGTGTGACACACTGCTACATTGGGCTAACCCGCCTCCCCATGGCTACTCTGCCTGCTCCTACCTCACCCTGCTATAGGATGCTTTGGGGATTTGTTCTTTTTTGGTGGTGGCGAGGGTTTAGTTTATTTGACTGCATTAAATGAATTGTCCCCCTAGCCCCACTTTGAGGTACTGGGGTTTGAACTCATTGCTTTCAGCTCACTTGGCTTGCTCGCTTGCTTGTCCTTCTACCACTTAAGCCATGCCAGCTCTTTGTTGGTTATTTTGGAGATGGAGTCTCATGGACATTTCTGCTGTGAGTGGCTTTTAACTTCAGTCCTCTAAGTCTCAGCTTCCTGGGTAGCTAGGATTATAGGTGTGAGCCACTGGCACCCAGCTGTAAATTCTCCCTTGCTTTAATTTTTTATTGTTATTATAAAGGCTATGTACAGAGGAGTTACATTGCATAAGTCAGGTAATGAGTGCATTTCTTTTGGAAATTGTTACCCCTTGTATATTGCCTTTTGAATAGGCCACATGTTCAAATCCAGAAATTCCATTGTTGAATCCATAAAAGGAAACAAAAATCAGTATGTGAAAGAGATAGTTACGGGGGGGGGGGGGGGGGGGGAGGGGGGGTATGATTGGGTGGGGGGGAGGGGGGAGGCTGGGAAGGGAGGTGAAGGGTAAACAAAGGAGGAGGCTGCAATGCTTGGTAAGAAATGTATGCATTTTCCTGCCCATGTAATTGTAACCCCTCTGTACAGTATGTTCTCAATTAAAATAAAATAAAATTAAAAAAAAAAAGAAAAGACAGCTGAGAGATTATGTACATGATGAAAGAAAAATAAATTATGACAGGATGGCATGAAAAAAAAAAAAAAAAAAGAAAGAGATAGTTACATGCTTTTGTTCACTGAAGCACTGCTTACAATGCCAGGATACGCAATCAACCCAAGTGTTCATCAATGGACAAATGACTAAAGAAAATGTGGTATCTACATACAATAAAATATTAGCCCCAGAAAGGACATTCCAGCTGGGTACTATGGCACAAAGCTAGAATTGCAGACACTCAGGAGGCAAAGAGCAAGAGGTATTGCAATTCAAGACCACCTGAGGCAAAAAGGTAGTAAGACAACCATCTCAATCAATAAACTGGGCATAGCAGTGTGTGTCTGTGGTCCCAGGTCCCTCGGAAGCCGTGGGCAGAAGAAGGGCTGGAGGCATGGCAAGTTGGACAGTGCCTGCTTTGCGAGTGCAAGACCCTGAATCCAAACCACAGTACTGCCAAGAATATATTTTTTAAAAGAATCAAAAGGACCTTCTTTTTAAAGTCTTTGGGGATTGGGAGTGTTGGTTAAAGGATACAAATTTCAGATGAGAGAAGTTCAAGAGATGTACAGTTAAAACACGGTGACTCTGGTGAGCATCAATGAGCTGTACCCTTGGAATTGCTATGAGAAGTCTTTGGTGTTCTCTGCATTGCTGACTTCATGTAGTTCAATTTGAAAGCATGTTAGTTTATGTGACCCCTTGGGAGTCAGTTCAGGGGCGAATACCCTTGTCTCTAATTGGCATCATAGGGTTTCAATAATAGTGGTAACAATGACAACAGCAGTTGTCAGCATCTCCAGCCCGCTATACACCACCCCCAGCCCTCACAGCTGTCAGGTATTGTCAGCTCAGCGTCACAGCAACTCAAATCTCAATGGGTTGGCAACTTGCTAATGGCCAGCTGGTTCTCAAGTGGCAGAACCAGGACATTAATCAAGTTTATATGACCCCTGGGGCCATACTCTGTGTGGGCCCCATGGCCACACAGGATGGTGGCCACACAGCATCATGTAGCGGAGGCAACTCTGGGGTTGTGCAAGGTGAGGTGGGATTGAGGCGTCTCCATAGGTGTCTGCTCCAGTCGACACTGTGTCCGATTCAGTGCAGGTTCCTCCAAGACAGGATCGAACCAAGCTGTCATCTCTCCATAACAGGTTAATCAACACAGTCTGGAGCTGAGGGAGCAGCCCTTCAGCTGTCAGACCTTCTTCTCAGGACAGCACTGAGTGCTAGCATATCAGATTTCATGTCCATTCATGTTAGCAGAGCCCATTATAGGGACAGGAATGTATTTGTACCTGAGCTATTCTCAACTGTCCTGGTGGTGAGCAGTGAAGCAGGCTAAATTAGCTCCTCTGGAGGGGGCGGGCACTTCCAGAATTTGGGTCAATTTGTTGACTGCCAATAATTGCCTCTGTGGGAGGCGTGACTGGAGGATGAAAATAGCCAGAGTATGCAAATGAAGGACAGAGATGGATGGACAGATTCTGGAGGAACAGTTTGAAGTTTGATGTACTAATCTGTTGTGGAAAGAGCTGGAAAGTCCTGGGCCCAAATTCCAGCGTTATGGATTACCAGCTGGCTGGCCTTGGCAGGGTACTTAGCCTCTCTGAATCTCAGTTTCTTCCTCTGTAAAATGGGGAAATAGGAAGATCGACTCTTCAGGATGCTGGGGGTCAGTGACCACAGTGTGTCCACCTACACAGTAGGCACGGGCAGTGGCAGTCATTACTCCAGCCTAACTAGGGGCAGCCTGCATTCCTCATCTGCTCTGTCAGACCTCCCAAGGGAGGCTTGTTGCAGGGCAGTGGGTAGAGGGTAAGGGATGGGGGGGTACAAGGCCAGGGGCCTAGAATGGGAGAAGGGTCAAGAGAATCAGGGCTAGGATTACATTTATCCCATGAGCTGTCAGAGGAGTCCCAGGAGGCCAGGTCTCTCAATAGGAGGAAAATGGCTGATGGAAGGGCTGAGCATAATATAGTATAAAGCATGGGAGGTAGCCATCTGGGCTGAGCAGTTCCTCCAGAGCCTTGAGGGTACTACTCTGAGTGAGTAGTGGTCCCAGCCTGGTATGGAGGGGCATAGGGTAGCTGTAAGCAGGTAGAGCTGTAAGCAAACCGCTCATCTCCCAGTCTCCTTGCTAATCTAGGAGCTGGCATTCCAGAGGGAAGAGAGGAGGGGCCCCTACTCTCTGTACAGGTCTGTCCTAGGGAGGTGCTGTAAGGTCTGGAAGGGCACACTGCCCACAGCTTCAACACTCTTGAAGAGCTTCCCAGAAGGTGTGGGCTGCTGTCAGAACTGCCTGCCAGCTCGGTTGCCACCTCTCAGCACTAATGTGGCCTTCGACAGTGGGAACCATGACAGAGAAGAGTTTTGGTCTCTGCTATGGAGAAGAATCATTTTGCCAGCCTGCTGCCCGCATAAGCCAGTCAGGCATCTGGGAGTAAAAGGCAGGCAGATGCCACGTGGAAAAGCTAAATGTCTCTGGAAAGGGACATGTGCACCAGCAGCCAATTCCTGCCAGCACAGGTGGTGCCTGGATTCCAGTTGTATTTCCTCCAAATTCCACAGTTCCTGATTTGCCACTAAGCCCATGCGTGCCAGTGCAACCTTCCTGGCAAAGCTCTGCCTCTCCTGTCCTCTGCAGAGTCTTGGGGACTGGGGGCTTCCTTCCCTGTCACCTGGACTGAGGCACAGTCAGCAGCTCCAGCTATGCTCTTAGTGGTGGCTCAGGGGTTCCAAGACTGGGTTGTGAGGAGAGTCACCTGTCATCTCTGGGAACTGAGTGACAGGCAGGCAGAGGATGCTTGGCCCTCTGCTCTCTGAGGAAGGCAGGGGAAACTCACCTTTTCTGCGAAGACCTGGTTGCCAGAGAGTTCAGTGAGGTGTAAGAATTCCAGGTGCAGGGATCCAAACTCTGCCAGGATGCTGCTGCTGCCTGCAGTGGCCCAGCCCCAGCTTCCACTGAAGAGAGACACACAGTCACCTGTGCTGGCCAGGGGCTCCTAGGACAAGAGCATCTGGGCTGCTGGAGGAAGTGCTGTGCACTAGGCACTGGTAGGAGATGCCTCATGCCACTTCTGCAGATGCTACCAACCCATTTTGCTGATGAGGGTGAGGTGACCTGACTTGCCAAAGGTCATTTGGACACTTGTCTGACTCACAATGCTTTGTATCATTAAGCAGTGTGTGTAAGACTTGGGGCTCAAGACCTGGCACACAAATGATATTGGCAATGCTGTCGGGGAACACAAAGGCTCCATGGGTCACTGTGACTACCTCTGACTGGAAGACAAACAGTGCTGGGACTCAGGCCCAAAGGGGGCAGATGGAAACAGGGACCCATAGCCCCTCCCTCTGTCCACACTGTTGGTGTGGGCACATATAATGGACTGGCCTAGAGTCTCTGGGGAGACCACAGCCCAGCCCTGGGCCTGCCCACTGGGGAACTGGGCTGAGATCAGGAGCACAGAAAGTATGGAGGCACCTCAGCTAGCCTCACAGCTGTGAGGATGTGTGTTTGCCTCCAGTCACAGAACCAGGCCAGACGGACGTCCCTGCCAGTCACACAGTGGGGACAGCACATGGACCAATGCTTGCTGAGGCCAGAGTGCCCTGCATCAACACAGTCCTGCGCAGGATGCTCCCTTCACTTGGACTTTTCACCTGCTGTCCCTGGAATCTGAAGCCAGAAGACATACGGTTGAATATTGGCTAGCTTCAGATATCAGGCTAGCTATTGCATCCTGTGTGCCTCCGTTTCCCCATCTGCACATTGTCTCCTGACCAGTATCTGGTTTTTGAGGGGAGGGAGTGATTCAACCACAGAGCTCCTTGGACTGATCACTGTCACTGTCCTAGCAGTTCGTGCTCCTTGCAGGTCACAGGTCATAGTTGGCTCTGCCGCTGCTTCCCAGGTCAGCTCTCCTGGCCAGGCAGTGCCAGAGCAGGATCACAGCCTGTCTCTTCAGCCCTTTTTCTGTAGCTGCTCACCGACAGCTCTGCTGAAACTGTAGGTATGTGTGGGTGTAGGTGCAGTGTGGGGTCCAGCGCCCAGCGGGCCTCTGAAGAGCAGACTTGGCAGCACAAGCCATATGCATCCCTGCCACTCTCCCATTTTTAGCAACAGACTGTTACCCAGAAAATGAAGGGGAAGCTTTGCCAAGAAGTAAGCATGTGTATATACACACACACTGCAGCCCAGCACACAGCAGCCTCAAAACACTGTGCTTCTTTAGTCTGTGTTGGACTAAGGGCTTTAAGCCCTGCTCCCAGGGACATAGATGAGACAGCCAGGGCTGTGGCATAGAAGAGGGAGGGGATCCTTGACAAGGTCCTGTCCCAGACCCAGGAGAACAGTGCAATTGTCCCAGCTCTGAGGTGTCAATCCTGATGAGAACACTTTCCCTCCTTCTTGATGGGCTCCACCTGGACTTCAGTAAGGGTTTGGTTTGGCCACCTTGGAATGTTCCCACTCCCGAGGACAGAGGCGAGTGCCAGTGGTGTGGGCTTGCCAAGTGTTCTTTTCTTGCATGATTAGAGAGAGTGAAGCTAGAGGCCACAGGACAGCAAGGGTTCCAACCAGAGCTCAGCCTGCTTCCCTCCCAGGCATTGGCCACACCCCTGTGTAGGGTGTGTGTGAGCCCGAGACAGCTCACTCTGAGATGGAGCAGAGGTCTGGCACTATGGAACTACCATAGACTTCCTCAACTCAGCAAGTTGTGGAGCCTCAAGGATGTCCAGAGAGCTCCAGGATGTCTCTGTCTTCCAGGCTCAGGATTCAAGAACAGGGATGCTGTCTTGGAGAGGGCCAGAGCCCATGACTCCCTTTGGGGAGGGAATGATGTACCCATGGCTCCAAAGCTGTGGCTGTGGAGGAGGGTGTTGGGCCAGCCTGGTGGGCTGAGTCAAGACAGTGCTGTGGGATGTCTGCAGAGGACCAACCAGGACCAGGTGGCCTAAACCCTGAGGACCAGGCTTGGTGACAAACACCGGCCCAAGGAGAATCCTTGACTACGACTGCTCTCAGAGTGTCACTAATTTACTTAGATCATTAAAATAGAAACTGTCCTCTCCCCGTGCCTCAGTTTCTACATTTGTACAGGTGACCAAAGCCAGGGCCTCAGGCCTCCTCAGGAGGCACCACCTAGGCAGGCCAGCTGCAGCAGATGCAGGGAATGAGAAGTGTCCTACCTTTTGAAGTTCACTATGCCCTTTGGGATTCCTGTGGGGGTGTTGAAGGCCGGCAGGAGCTTCTCTCCAAGCTTGATAGCCTTTATTCGAAACACCTGCAAAGAAGGGTCAAAGGGCAATGAGTGGGGCAGTCACTGCTGGGGGCAGGGTAAATCCACCATGGTAGAGGCTGTGACGGGCCTGCAGCCAGCCTGGGAGGGGGCCTGGTTCCTTAAATCACTGGCTTTGTGGTTTTAGATGTCATGTCTCTCTGAACCTCAATTTCTGAGAATCTGTAGAATGAGGATAAATTGTTCTCTTCAGACAGCTGTTGGGAGCAATGACAATCAGATAATCATGGTAAATCATCCACCACCACCACGTCAGACCATGACAAAGGGCTGTTAGTGTGATTAGGTGACCAGTGGGAAGATGAGGGGAAAGCAGTGAAGACCTGGCTGAGTTTGAGCAGGCCACCAGTGGTCAGTGATGCCCTCACACAGGCCCACAATGTTACAGGCTAAGAACGATCATCCCCAGAGGCTATGTACTGAAGGCATGGCCCCCAGCTCGTTGTGTTACTGGGAGGTGGCAGAATCTCTGGGAGGCTGGGCCAGGTCAATGGTGGAATGTCCTTGATGGAGATATGGAGACTCTGGTCCATTCTCATCTCTCTCTTTGCTTCTTGGCTATCACCAATGTCTCCTCTACCACAACCTACTGTGGCACCAGAGACCCAAAGAAGCAGGCCATGTGAACACCGACTGAAACCCTGAAACCGTGAGCCAAAATAAACCTTCTTTTGAGTTGATTATCTCAGGTATTCTTGTTAGTGATGGGAAGCTGACTTATACACTGAAACATATAGTACTGTCTGGCCAGGCGCCAGTGGCTCATGCCTGTAATCCTACCTACTCAGGAGACTGAATTTGAAGAACGAGGTTCCAAGCTAACCCAGGCAGGAAAAGTCCATAAAGCACCAGAAAACCGGAAGTGGTGCTGTGCTCAAGTGGTAGAGCGATTGCCTTGAGCTGAAGAGTTGAGGCCCAGAGTTCAAGCCCCACGACAGGCCCCCCGCCAAAAAAAAATAGTACTGTATGGATCAACTGTAAAGAGTTCTACATAACAGCTATGACCACCCCTTTCCCCAGGATCCAGAAACATCTATTTTTTTCTCCTGACACTCTGATGCCACCCACTTTAGAGTTGGGGAATGAAGGGAAAGGTCAAATGGCTTGTCCTCAGCCACTACATCATAGCAATGGAGCCATGCTGGGACCCAGGGGAAGGTCCCCTGTCCAAGGCTCTGGCTCTGTTCCTCCAAATGCCAGGTTAGTGGCAAAGGACCAGGGACCTCCTGACTCAGCAGTGTTCCTCCTAGAAATTTATTCTGAGTATGTAATAGTGGAGGTTGTAAAGCTATCACTCTATGGATTTTAGTCTAGCACTGCTCAGAACAGTGGGGGAAACAGAAATGTGCTAAATACCAACAGAAAGTAGTTAAATTAGGACTTACATGTCATGGAATACCAGGAAGACACTAAAGTCATGGAGATATTTAAGGGCAAAGGAAGAGTTTATAATACACCAAGAAAAAATTTCAAACAACATAATTCAACTTTCAAAAATTCTATGTGGATGCATGAGGAAAGGAAAAAAATGCCTCATATCAATAATGTACGCTTGTGAGGGGCAAGCTCATGGACAATGGCGCTTTTCTTCTTTTGGCTCATCTCTATTTTCTCTGCAATTTGTATTTTTAAAATGTTTTGTTTGATTTGGGAATCTCACTATGTTGCCCAATATATCAATCAAACTGTCCAATATTGGATATAAACAACAAAAGAGGAAGGATTTATTTAGGGGTTTCAGTCTACCATGGAGGGCAGAAGACAGAGTGGGTGGGAGAAAGGGAAGTAGAGATGGCCAAATACACAGAAGGAAGAAAAAGGGGAAGGGGGAGGGAAGATAGAGAGGGGGTAGGGAGAACAAGCTCTGTACTTAAGGGTTTCCTCTTTCTTCCCTGTTTTATTCCATAGGAGGTGCCCCAGCTTATTGGATGGTGCACTCATATTCAAGGCATATGTTTCTCCCTTTGTTCATCCACTCTGAAAAGCTGTACAAGACATCTAGAAGTATGCTTTACTAGTCTCCTGGGGGCTTTCAATCCAAAGGAACTGGTGGTAGTACATGCCTGTAATCTCAGCTCCTCAGGAGGTAGAGATCTGGAGGATCATAGTTCAAGGAGAGCCCAGGCAGTTTGTGACACCTCCATCTAAATAAACTAGGTGCATGTGGTTTACACTTGTAATACTAACTATAAAGGAGGATAGCTAGGAGGAGTGTTGTGTTGCGGTATGAGGCTGGCCCAGGTAAAGAGTTTGAGATCATGTCTTAAAAAAAATAACTAAGGCCAGGCACTGGTGGCTCACGCCTGTAATCCTAGCTACTTAGGAGGCTGAGATCTAAGGATCATGGTTCAAAGCCAGCCTGGGCAAGGAAGTCCGTGAGACTCTTATCTCCAATAAATCACCAGAAAACCAGAAGTGGCACTGTGGCTCAAGTGGTAGAGCGCTTGCCTTGAGCTGAAGAGCACCCAAGCCCAGAGTTCAAGCCCCATGACCAACAACAACAACAACAAAAATAACTAAGCAAAAATGGCTGGAGGTATGGCTTAAGTGACAGGATGCTTGCCTAACAAGGGCCAAGGTCAGATTCTCCTACCTGGAGCCACGTGGCCTCAGTAGGAATGTCCTATCTGAGCCTCATTGTCCCCATCTACACAATGGAACAGTACTGTGTACCCTAGTTTCCTCACTGGGTGTTTTGGTAACTCAAACAAGAGGAAGTTTATTGTAAACTGTGAAGTACTGTGCCAGCACCACCTTGGGCAGCCTGCTAGCTCATCTCTTGAAAGTTGCTTCTCCTCCTGTAGCTTCCTTCCTTGGAGGCAAAGACAGATTGTGGTGGCAGCAGGGATGGGGCTGCTTTTCCCAGTCTTCCACATATATTCGTGGGAAACTGAAACACTGGGGAGACTCAGTCGACAGGCATCCACTGTATGTGGACCAGGGACAGAGAAGAGGAGGGCTCAGACAGGTATGGCTGAGCCTGGGTCACAAACAAGGACAATGGAGGCATGGGATAGAAAGGCTAGTGGGTCAGGAGTGAGGCTGGGACACATCCCTTAGTGACTAGGTCAGGAGGTGACTGTTTCCTTATTTGCACCTCATGGGAGTTTGAGTTCCCTCCAGTAGGTGTCTGGAAGGGGGTGGAACCCAAGGACAGTGAAAAACGATGGGGGGTATGTTTCCTGGCAGGGGGCTACATGGACAGAAGCAGAGCCTGCCTGTCCTGGGGCGCAGACTGCTTGCCCTTCTGACCCATTTCTTAAGTTCCTGGGGCCCCTGTCCACAGCCACTTTCCAGGGGGTGCGCACAGTAGGAAGTGAGAGTGAGGTTCCTTCAGGGAGTCCAGGGCTCAGAACCACAGACACCCTTGGAGGTGGGAGGGATGGCTGGAAGGGAGAAGAAGGGAGGGGACTGTGGGCCACCTGAAGACCTCTAGCCACTTTTGGAAGTGCTGACTTGAAAGGCAACTGTAAGCCTTAGCCACATCCATCTCCCACTGTCCGGGAGGCCAGGCCACTGCGTGTGATGCGCACGAATGCCTATTCTCTGCTCCTTCTGTCACTTTCCAGCCTTGTGGTTTTCAAATATAATTCAGGCTCTGGGTGGCTGGAAGCCGAGGGCTCCCATCTACAATTTTTGGTGACAAATTGGTACAAGCAGTAATCTCTGTTGAGAAGATTATGTTCGATGCAGAGTTGCTGGAAGTGACGAGAGAGATAGGCGGCATGTTGCCTCTGAGTCCTGACTTCAGTCTTGCAGCTGAAGGTGAAGAAAGGTAGAAATGCCTCTGGTCAGCGGAGGGGATAGGGATTCTCTGTGGCTCTGGGTAGAGAACAGAAGGCAGAATTGTCTCTGGTGGGCAAAGCAGGAGGATCAGGACTCAGGGCAGTGGCTGAGCTGGGCAGCGCTGCCCTTCTAGGTCATGAGATCAATGGCTTGTGTTCTGGAGACTGCCAGTCCGGCCATCTGATACATGGGCTGTGCTGTTCCAGGAGTTCACGAGAAGGGGATGAAGAAGTCTCCCATTCTGCAGAGCTCTATGATACTCAGAATTATCTGACAAAGAGGAGAATGTGAGTTCTGGAGTGACAGCTCTGGACCAAATCCTTTTCCTCCTATCCCATTTCACAGCAGCTCTTAGGCCTAAGGCATGTCATGACTTCCATGACCAAGGAGGGAGGCCGAGAGATAGGAGAAGAGGACTGGCCTGTGGCAAGTGAGGAGGTAGAATGAGGCCCATGACTGTGGGTGGCTCTTCTTTGCCTGCCCCCACATGTCACAGCTTTCCTCATAAAAGCCAGAAGGGGGGTCCCAGAACAAGGCCGCGCATGTATGGCCTACCAGAGGTAATGGCCTGTATCCTCACTGTCCCACTGGGACCCAAAGTTGGCACCCAGTTGGCATGTGGCTCAGGAGGGGACAAAAGAGGAGGCTATGGAATAGGACAAATCCAGGACTCTAGAACTGGAAATGATGAACAATAGTAGTCTTGCTTTGTTAGTCCCAAAAGCAATGCTGCTGTCTGATGGTGCTACGCATGGTGATCAGAGAAGGCACAGTTGCTGCCTTTGGAGAGCTCACTTCCTGCTGTGGGAGCCAGGTGCTCACCAGGGTGGCAGGACTGAGCAGCAAAGTAGACAAGGAAGAGCCTTTGGGTGGCACCTGAGGTGCTTGTTGGGGTTCTTGGGTGGCCTCTGGCAGATTACCTGCCTCTTGAATTCTCCTGCTTTTGTTGGTGAAAGGAGGGTAGGACCATGTATTTCCTAAGGCCACCCTTCCAGTCTGCATAGTCCTAGTGTGTCAAAGGGCCAACTCACCTCTTCTCCTGTCAGGTAGTAGGCTGAGAGGAGTCCTCCAATGTAGCGAATGTTCACCTCAAACAAGGATGCTTCCCCACTCTGCAGAGCAGAAAGCAGAGGGGAAGTAAAGATACCTGCAAAGACACCTGTGAGTTTCCAGAGCCAACCAGGACTCCAGACCCCCATCAACACATACCTTGGTCCTCCAGTAGGACAGACCAGGCTCAGTTTTCATAGCAAAAGCTGAGAAGGGTGAGCGCCTGCTTGGCAGTTACTACCGCACATTTACAGCATTCCAAATAAACACTGGGCTTGGCTCCTTCACCAGATCTTAGGGCTCCAGGCCATTAGTGCAGTTATGCCTGGCTGCACTCCAGTGAGTTCCAGGACTTGTGTTGGGAGCTACTGGTGAAGCTTACCCCAAGGGGCAAATCTTCTTCTAATCCACTTCTCCTCTTCCCTGAGAGCCCCAAGGCTTGTGTGGTAACTGAGAGGCCCTTCCCCAGGGTGATGGGCAGGAAAGGTTCTCAAAGGAGGCTGTGGGCAATGGGGCAGGGCTAGTCCTAAATGCAGGCTGGTGTATGCTCGGAAACCTGCAGATTCTTTGTGTTGGGCCTGTCAACCAAGGTTGTTGAGGCAACTTACAAACACCAGGCTTGGGTTAAAATCCCACCTGGGTTACACACCTGGCTTTGGGATCTGAAGAAAGACATCTTGCCTTTCTCTGCCTGAGAGTACTCCTAGGGCTGCAGGGTGGATACAGGTAAGAAGTTGCCTGAACCACTGGTGGGAGGCACCTGTTGTTACCTCCTTTGCCTCCCTGACATACTTTTATTGAGAGCAACAACCATCAACTGCTAACCTGCAAGAACCTTTCCATCAACAACATGTATGGGAAGCTACTCCTTTTCAGCCTAACAACCCTCTTGGGTGGTCACTCTTTTCCATATGAGAATTCTAAGGTTCAAAGAGGTGATCCCACCTTGCTTTCCCCTAGGGACACTCTAACCTGCCCCAGACTGCTTGAACATCTCTAGGCTCCCTGGCCACCTGGGCAGTGGCTGCTGCCCAGAGGAACACAGACGACAAAGTGGGCCCCTAAAGATGCCCTTTCCCTCCCCACCCTCCTCCCACCAATATGGAGGATGCTACTCTTCCCTGACTAACGCATAATACCACTGAAATCACAACCAGCATCAGGATGACCACAGAAATTATGATGAAAAGGATGCCAGTTTATCTTTGTGGTTTACAGAGCCATACAAGCTTTCTACAATACTCCAAGTAGTCCTCACATCAAGTCCAGGAATCAGGCCTTGCTGTGGTCACACCGTCTTAGTGAGGGATACCAAGGCCGAGGGAGGCAGAAGCCTTTTTCAGACCTGCCTCTGGGGGACACTGCTCTCTCACTGCTCTCCAGCCCCCGCCCTGCCCTCAACTCTGTGCTGACTAAGACACTCCTTGAGGGAGCAGGGGCTTGCTTCACTTCTGCCTGGCTGCAGAACTGCCCCAGGTGCTGCACCTCAGAACCTGGCACTTGTAGGGCCCTGCTCTCAGCAGGCGAAGCTGTGCTTCCTCCTTCCTGCCCAGAACTCTCCACTTCTTATTCCTCAAATCGACATGTGACACATGGCTTCAGGCCAAATCCACTGTTTAGTCTGGACTGTGAGAGCTATGGAGTGGGCCTCAAGTCTTTTGTTCCATCTAGACACTTGAGCATCCCCTCAGCAAGGCCCTTGGCCCTTAACCCTCACCAAGGATGCCTGCAAGAATGGGAACCAAGAGGTCCTGAGCTTGGTCCTGGGCCCACCACATTGTCTCAAGAGAGACAAGCAGGGGACACGCAGAGTGACATGGGTGGAGAGATGAGCCACTTCTTCCTCCAGACAGCCATTCTCTGCCCTCACTGCTGAGGCTGTTGCTTTGCGACAGATGCAGCGTCAGAAGAGCTGTCCTGGGTGTAAGTGATCTGCCCTAGATGAGCAATGGTGAATGAAAGGGAAGGAATGAAAGGGAGAGTCTTTCTCCTCATGGGAGGACTTCAGGCTGCGGAGAGGGAGGAGGCTTCATGCAGCCCTGGTTCTGGGACTGTCCTGCTGTGCAGCCTCAGGCAAAGGCAGGACCCTTGGTATCTTGGGCTTCAAAGATCTCTTGGGGAGTTGGCTGCTGACAAGTTTTAATACGCTGAGGGTCTCTAACTCACCACATTCAGGTGGAAGCTCTCTTCTACCCAGGTCTTGGCTTCCTGGAACTCCTCCTTCAGCTCCATGAGATACAGTGTGTCCAGAGAATCAATGATTGTTGCCCCACTGAGGCCACCTGCAGGCAAAGAGGATTAAAGTGTGGCTTGGTATCATTATTATCCTTCCCATCCCTGTTCTCCAGGGACCCCAGATACAGGCAGGCTCCAAGGCATGATCCAAGGGGACTCCAATGCCACCAGCAAATGCGTGAAGATCTCACGTCCTCCTGGTGGCTGCTTCCTCCCTCTGCAAAAGCAGGGAAGGAGACAGCACTAAGTGAGTCCCTTCTTTGACCTTCCTGAGCCTCCAGAGTAGCATGTATTACAGATGTAAGCCACCAGTGCCTGGGTTCTTACATTATTTTTATAGCTAGAAACTTATTTCCATTAAAAAGGAAACATTTGGGAAGAAATCCAACTAATGCACAAATCAACACAACTTGAGTGCATAAAGGAGCCATACTCCCGTCCCTGTTACTGAACCTTAGAACCTGGCCCTGGGTGCTAACTACAAAGACTGTTTTCTAACAGTCCACACTATGAGAACAGACCCTGTGTGGTACAGAGAGCCTGCACTCCTACTGAAGGAGTGGGGAGGAAGAGGGATAAGCCTAGAGCCATCTGGAGGGCTTCTTGAAAGAGGTGGCTGTCTATTTCTCATGAACACCTTAAAACTAATTATTACAGAAAGCAACCACCTCCTTAGGGACCAGAATATAGTAGTCAATGGTATCTTTTGGGGATCCCTACTTTATATGTTTAACTTAAGCATATTTGTATATGACCTCCGCACATTTTCCCCTACACTTGACCTCATCTCAGATCACTTACAATACCTAGTACAAGGTGAAAGCTGTGTACGCAGCTGTTACACTGCTCAGGGAACAATAACAAGAAATACGTTGTCAGGAAATGTTCAGCACAGAGAATTTATTTTCCTGTGTTTTTCATCTCTGGTTTGTTGAATCCACTGATGGAGATGCTGAGACCCCACTGTGTTGCCTTCAGAAGAGTTACTGCCCCACAGTATCCTCCTTGGGGGTGGTACTGAGCCACAGGCCCCACCCTCCCATACAGGACTGGAGCTGCTGAGGGGCCCCCTCCACCCCATCCCATGCATTCAGAGCTCAATCTGGGCCCCTCAGCCAATACTGGTCTAATTGCTCACTTGTGTTGCTGCTGCAGACAGAGAATGCTGAAACCTAGCCATGGCCAGGCAGGGTCTGACAAGGAGTAAAGTCAGGGAGAGGGAAAGGGAGAGGGAGGAGGAGGGAGAAGGGAGAGGGAGGAAGATACGGCTTAAGATTAAAAAGCATTACCAGAAGAGAGGGTTGGCTGTGCAGGTGAGGGTGTAGCCATGCACTGGCTTAGAAATTAGGCTGAGGTGAATTTCTAGAATGCCAGCCCCTTCCACACTTCCAGTCTGTTAGGAGACACAAGCCAGGCCAGACAGTCTTTCTTGTCCCAGCTGCCTCCCTCTACGTGTCAGGCTGGAGGAGCTAAGGCCAGGGAACCATGATGGGTAACAGATGCATGGAGAGAGGCTAAAGCCAGCACAGGCTGGTGCCCATGCTCTTGCACTACAGCTAGGCCAGCAACCTGCAAACCTGATGTTTTAAGGGTCCAGAGGGATCCTGCTACTCCACATCTCAGATGATGCCCAAAGGGCTGAGATGCAAGGGGACCTGTCCCAGCACTAGGCAAGGTGATGAGCTCCCCATTGAGCATGTGGCTTCTCAACGCTCTGCAAATACTTTCCAGTCTGACTGCTTGCCCTGCTATGCCTGCCCCAGTGGTTCTCCAGGCCTGCTAAGGCCAGCAGAGTGGCCATAGTATCTGATTTCGGAGACCTTTTCTTGGGCCACCTGTGGGTTCACCTTACAGTCCCTCTGACCCCTGGGCCAGGCCAGGAGGCAACAGGGCTTCTCGTGACCAGCTCTGCCCTGTAACATCTCTGAGGACACCCGATATGGACAGCTGAGAAGCAGCTGGCTGAGGTTTGCTGGCAAAGTCCTGCCCCTGCTCTGGGCTCCTTCTCTGGGTTGGCTGCTGTCCACCAAGGCACTCGCTGGAGAGCCTTTCATTCAGGCTAGGGGTTACCCAGAGGCCAGGCTGGGTAGGAAGGCTCTATCCCCAATCCACCCTATGTGTGGCCTGGCAGTTCCCCATGGAAAAACACATGCCCTACAGTAAACAGGCCAAGGACTTGCACGTGAAAGACCTACAGGCCTCAAAAAGGCACCCTCAACCCTCCACTGGGACTGGAGCTGAGATGGGCTCCAGTTGAATCCTCACTAGCTCTGAATTCTTCGTTTCACAAAGGATACCCCATTGTGAAGGAAGCAAGAAGCAGTGAAGAATTCCTGTAGGCTAGAACTCAATGCTGGGGTACAATCCTAGCAATACATCTTCTCTAACCATCAATGTTTTCTTCTGTCAGGTAAGTGGAAAGCTGTGGGCGGAGCACCAGGGAACCATGCCTTGACCCTGACATGCCTGCTAGCCAGGCAGCTGACACATCTGTCCCTAATTGGAATGGACAGGTACTTGACACACCAGATCACTGGCCCCCTGTGCTCTGGACAGTCCTTCCACAAGGTCTTTGGGATCCCATTAGTGTCTGCTGTGTGTGAATGACCCTCCTCTCCAGCCAGCCAGGCCTCCTGAGAAACCTCTGGGCAACCACTGTGTCCCTTGACCTCCAGCACAGGTACTGCCCCCTTCTTGAAAGAGTTGTTTGTGTCCTTTTCCTGTCCACAACAGCAGGGATTATGGTCTGGATCAGAGACAACCTTGTACTCAGGAAACAGCTGTTGACTGCCCAAGGAACAAAGGAGGCTGCTGCAGTCTGCTCCTATGCCCCAGGCCTGGTGCTGGGTCTCCACTGGCCTGGCCTTCCAGCTCTGGTGCTGGCCTTCCTCCACTGGCCTGGACTTCAGTGCACCTTGCCTCTTTCACCTAGCTCTGTGACTGCTGTTCCCAGCATCCTTTGCTGGCTCCTCGCATCTGCCCACATCTAAACACTGGGTGAGTCTCCCTCTTACTCTGGTTTCTTCTCTGCAGTCTCCCTCCACCTCAGTGATTCCAGAACATGAAACAACTCCTAGGTTTAAATTTCCAGCCAAGACTTTGTCCCCAGTCCCCAAACAGACACATCCAACTCCCTGCCCACATCCATTCGCCCCCCCCTCCACTGGAAGGCTGTAGGCATCTCTCCTTCTAATGTCTGTGAGCAATCCTGCTCTACTTCCAAACACTCCCAGCCCCATCCTGCTGTCTACTGCTTCCCCCAAGGGCCACGCCCCTACAATGTGCCTCTGCTGTTTCTCAGGCCTTACCAGTCCTGCAACAAATCAATCCCAAGCGCCTCCTAATCATCCCCAAGGCTTCTACCTCCTCCTCTACCCTGTCCACTTTTCTCCTGTGGCCAGAGGAATTCCATAAAGATGCAAGCCATACCAGCCACTGCACTCTGTAACTCAAGTCCTTCCCATCTAACTTGCAGGGCCTGTGATCTGGCCACATCCCCTCAGCATCTGTCCCTCACACCAGGGGTACAACTGAGCCTCCCGAGCCTGGGCCTGATGGCTGAGGGTTCTTCTGCTGCAATGGCACCCCTCGATGTCCTGTCCTATTTTTCTCTTGACCTGTAGGACCAGGGGCAAGGCACAGGGTCTGCTCACCTGACTGCATCTGTTCTCACAACTGCTACACCTACAACACTGCAGCGCTTCCCAGATGGGGCCCCACTGTGCTGGGAAGGAAGCCCCTGCCTTGGGGAGAATGGGCAGGCTCTGGAGGCTGTGGCCCACTCACATTCTCAGCACTTACATACTACCTGGGTGGGAATTTGTCAGGCTGAACAAACTTGGTCCCCTGAGCAAGCATCGGTGGTGACCATGTCCAGGGCTAGGTTAAGTCCACTCCAGGAGCCAGTGACAATGGACAGAGATCTCGCCCAGCTGTGGCAGCCTAGCTGGGATTATCAAGCATGCCCAAATCACAGCCTTTCAGGGACTTCCTATTGGGAGGCTGTTTCGTCTCCCAAGACCTCCTCCCAGGACTGCCTCCTCAGGAGTCACCTGCCCGTCTATGTTGTGGTTTGCATCTTCTCTGGACTCTGTCCTGTTAATGACAATGAGGTTTTATGGGATGTTTTATTAGCAGAGAGAAATGGGTCAGGCAAGGCAATTCCAGCTTTGGGAGGAACATTTAGGAAAAAAAAAACCACCCAAGGCAGAGCCTATTATCATAGCATCCCCAGAGTCAACACTAATGGCTGCGTTTAATTTAATGATTTCACCCACAGAGACTTAACTATAAAGAAACAACACGAATGTTTTTCTCAGCCTCCAAAGAAACCATGGAGGCTGTGTGGCAGCTGTCTTTTTTCAAAGATGGCCACCATGGCACCTCTCACCTGACAGCAATGGGGCTCTTCTTGCAACCTTGATGGTCCTCCCATGGTGTCTCCCTGGACCAACAAAATAAAGCAGAGGAAGGAGTGCTTGTTTCCAGGTGCAGACCTGAAGAAACAGGCAGCTTCCCCTTTATACCTGTTGGGCTGACCAGCTACCACACTGTAAGGGAGCCCAAAACAGTCTGCCAGAACACAAGGGAGGCCACAGGCAACAATCCTCCTACCTGTGCCTCCTGCCTAGCTGGGATCATAGATGTGCTCCATCAAACACTGATTTTTTTTTTTAAGATGGGGTCTTGGTAACTTTTCTCCCAGTCTGTCCTCGAACCACAATGCTCTGGATCTCAGCCTCCCAAGTAGTTAGGGTTATAGGAGTAGGCCACTGTGTCTGGTCTTAGAAAAAGACATTTTTTAGGAACTATTCCTGGAATTGAACAGAATGTTCTCACTAGAGGTGGATTAGTAAAAGATGATCACATCATTTTTTTAAAACTCACATTAAAACTCTGAGCCTAGTAAGCACAAGGCAGTGAGTTCAAAACCCAAATACTGTCTGTCCTTCCACTCCTGCAAAAAAAAAAAAAAAGCCCTCTGGGGCTGGGAAGGTAGCTCAGTGGTAGAGCGCTTGCCTTGCATGCATGAGGCCCTGGGTTCGAT